CTCCTGAGAATCTGTCATCCCAGCAGAAGCAGGCCGGGGTGGCGGCGAGCGCGTTGCGAAGCGCGCTCGCTTCCAGGGAGCAGAGGGAACATGGGGTTCCCCCACGGGGGGTCGTCTACTCGTCTGTAGATGGCCCGAGGTATGTCGGGGCACCGTGGACTTTCTTTCTAGGGTATACCTGGTTCCCCGGCTATTAGTACCCGAGACGGCGTGCGGTTTTAGTCGGTTCGAGTCCAACATGCCACCGATAGGTGGTATCCGAGGAGATTTCCGCACGGAAAAAAAAAGGCCTTGGGAAAGGAGGTTTTGGTCTACTATAACCCGTCTAGGGTTGGTATAGGGTTTGTTTCAAGTTTTCCTTCTTTTGCAGTGCTGTTGTCCTAAGTAGTTTGCTCCGTTAGTCGGCTCTTCGTATTCTTAATCTGTCATCACACGGATACGTCTCCTACTTGACCTTGACTTATTCATGTAAGTATACATAAGTGCAACAAAAAAACTTACCTAATCTACACAAATAAAATTACTGGCCCTAACTGACTGACTCATCAACGCAGACCCTAAACCGCTGGGGTTACAAACTTGAAATTTTGGCAGCCGATGCTTTTTATATTTTAAGCACCCACAAAGAAGTCCGTGTAGTGACGGATTAAGAATACGGATTGTCACTACCCCAATTCATCGCGTGGGTGTCGTAAGAGCCGACTAAGGGCGCAAAACAACGCAGGACACCAGCACTGCAAAAAGAAGGAAAACTTGATACAATCCCTATACCAACCCGTCTGGCCAGCGTGGTATAATAGGCCCAAACCTTCTTTCTAAGTAGAGGCCTATGTCGAGCAGTGGACTATTAAAGGCTGATGCTTGATGTGTGATGATGATGATGATAATAATCACCAAGAAAGGATTTTTGGAAATTTCACCCCCAAGGTGGTTAAAATAAGGGATGAACGGTAGCATGGAAATTGGTCATTTTCAAGGTTAGAAACACGAAATAAGAATTATTTAAGTCGCGGGCAATAGTCAATAATAAATTTAAAAAATGTAAAGCGTTTTCAGTTCGTTTACACGCTCTAATGTCTGAAACTATCAGCCTAATATGTATGATTATTATTTTTATTAAATAGACCATTTAGAAATAATATGAATTATTAATAATGAAGCTATGAAGGTTAGGAGTGGAACAATCACCATACGTATTTTTTTGTTAAGTACCTATTTGCCTATTGCATCAAAAAAAATTGTTTCAAAAACATACATATTTTCAATTAGTATGTATTTAGAAACGTCATTTTCTCGATGCTGACTGCCAAAAAGAATTGCCCATCAGTATCTTGCATGAGCGCATTGCAGTCACAAATTTATTCCAATAATAATTTTAAGTCAAGGTTTTTTTAACATTACAAAGTATAAATCTAATATATAAATTTAATATTATATCTATACATATAAGAACACTACAATTACTAATACCCACACAAGCTAATCAAAATATAATATAAAAATAAAAAAACCGTAATATTGACTATGGTAATATTATGATAAAACACGCCAGTTACTATATCTACGTAAAAAAAAGTAAATTTTTATAGCATGAATCACATTTTCCAATATTGTCACTGCAAAAGTATTCGTAAGCTGACACATTTTCCTGTGCACATTAAAAAAAAAACATAGGCCCCAGAACTGTGTTTTAATAATCTTATCGGCATTTGTATGTTACATGAGGCAAACATTAGTTCGAGTTATGACCGATAAAAAACTTAGCGCTATCATGGTATTTTTTTCAAACACTCACCTAATATCGGCAATTAAATACACTTTCCGTACGGTCTAACGCCCAGAACCACAATGGGGACGTCTCAAAAGCGAACATTTGGCTGTTCCCAAAATAGTACCATATCGCAGGCCCCCAACTAAAGTTATAAACATTCGACGCACACATGCAAATAGCCTAAATAAAAAAAATCAATATTTAAACAATCGTAAGGTCGACGACGCAGCGTTATATTATTTTAGTCGTCGGCGCCTCACAATTCTTACAACGATTCAACAATATGGTCGGTGCTCATTTTACTGAAAAAATGTGACTTTTCACAACCTTCGTATATGGGAAAACTACCAAAATAGACTTAATACTCACAGTTGTAGGAGATCCAGCGAACTACACATCACTACACATCACGTATGCAATTAGTGGCCGTCGTCTTGTTTTTTTTTAACGATGAAAAATCAATAATTTTTAAGAGAACAAAATTTTGATCATATTTTTCCGTCGGGCCCCCGCAGCCCTCGGTCTCGCTCACCGACACTTAAAAATGAAAAACCCATTGCAAGAAAACTGTGGAACCGAAAGAGATGCATATACGTCGCCGATTGTAAATAATGACGGGAACGAATCATAACAAACGAGAGAGATACACGATAGACTGGAAAAGCATTAACAATAACAAAGTTACATTACGTAATATTAGAATTACTCAATATAATTATGTACTTACCATTTTTGTTGTAAATGTAGGCGTAAGAACAATAAATTAAAGAGTCACACGACTTTATAACATCGCGAATGCATTTTGACGCGAGTAACCATCCGTCAGACGGACGCCATTTGCAATTAGCGTGCATCTGACTAGGCTCTTGCTAGCTACTTGTCTCATTCATTATATTCTAATTGGACAAAATTCATATTAATAAAACTTGGTGTGGTGATTTTTATTTTTAAATAAAGTTACAGCATTGCATTAAATTAATCATTTTCAATTATTTATTTCAATGCCCGGTCGGTGTGACATTTCATGTTACGGCAACATCGTCAACTGTCACATGTATATTAAGTACAAATGTGGCGGGAATTTGTTTCATTTAAAATTTAATTTAATCTAATCTATACACATTATTTCACGAAGACAAATTTTTGTACTTTTCAAATATGGCACATGGCAGCGTATCATATTTGGAACGCTGTTTATATGTAGGAGGAGTACAGAAAGGTAAAACTTTTAAACAACTATGGGAAGTCATATTTTGTATGCTTCGCTTTTGTGTTAAAATTGTGTTACTTAGTATACTAGCTTAATTGCTTTAGTATAAAATTTATTTATGGCTAAACTTTCTCAACGAAACAAGATTTTAAGTTAATAATAATATCATTAATTAAGTTAAAACTCTGTAGTGCCGCTAACTCTGTTGTAGAGACACTTCAATTTCATAAATTGAGAACGAAGTTCATTATACGGTTGATTTTAAGTTGAAGGATTTTAATTGTAATTAAATATTATGTAATGTTGTGAGGACTGTGAGCTTATGTGGTGTAAATACGTTAATTTTTACTGTTATTATTAATCCTATAATATTTATTGTCATTATGGGTCAGACCAAATGTTTGTGTGATCTGCAAATATTTGTTTTGGAGTTTGGGTGTTTTATATGTAGGTATATTATGTATCTATTTACAAAAAAGTATTTGAGTATTCGATTAGTCAATCTAGCTTCTATATGACAATCTCTGCTTGGTTTGAAACTAGATGGCGTAGTGTATTCAATGTCCGGAAATATTATTATTATACTTAATAATGTGATTTAGTGAGACTTTTTTATGGTACCGGGGGCAAACAAGCCTACCTGTTACCTGATGGTAAGTGACTATCGTCGCCCATTGACACCAGCAATTTTAGAATCACAAGTTGATGCCCAATGACCCCCCCCCCCCCAAATTAGATCAGGAGGGCCCCCCCCTGGTGGATGCTGCAAACCTCACTCACTCAAAGAAAACATACTAAAGAATTGCTTAACACCAGTTTTCTGAGGTTTTGGTTAACAGATATGTGAAAATTCCTTGTTCTGACTTGTCTTAGTATTCTTAAAATATTTTCCAAAAACTTTTATACACAAATAATCAGTGTTCAATAAACAAAATCAGTGTTAAAAAAGCCCAAAGTTTCCCTCAATCTATGGGGGCGGGAGAAGCTTAGGGCTCCGGTAGTTTTTAATTTTGTCAAAGGGCTTGTGACTCTTTGAGTTGTACGTGTTTAGTAGTAGTAGGTAGGTAGTTAGTTAGTAGTTTCGTTTCTTAGTAAGTAAGTGGGTAGCACGGCGTGGAATTCTTTTTGAAGAAATCTTCAATTAATTTGCTGCAAGGCATACTTCTCTTTAGTTTTTTGTTTTGATTGTTATTAGTTTACTATTTTTACACCACTACATTACAGTAACTGCTTTGAACATAGTAATTGTCATACATATGTATAATTGTCATGACGGGCCTGTTGGTCTAGTGGTTAGTGGCCCTGACTGCTAAGCCGGAGGTCGTGGGTTTGATTCCCACCCAGGACAAATATTGTGTGATGAGCACGGTTATTTGTTCTGTGTCTGGGTGTAATTTATCTATAATATGTATGTATTTAAAAATATATAAGTATGTTTATCAGCAGTCTGGTTACCATAGCACAGGTTCTGCCCAGTTTGGGATCAGACGGCCGTGTGTGAGATGTATGAAGTTATTATTATTATTATATCAGGTATAATGCCACATATTGTCAAAATTAGTTATAAATAAAAAAGGTTTGTTTTTAACTGCTCTGTAAGCTCAATTATTGTAATGAAAATTCGTTCAAAATTCTGTCCATCTACTTTTGATCTCACTAATGTCATAAAATATATTCTTAAAGTATAGTATTAATAAACATCGAACGTTGACTGTAATGGGACGACTGAGACTGCACGGATGGCATAGTGGTCAAAGCAGTCGCCTCGCCCCTTACTTCTACGCTGAGTGTGGTGGGTTCGATCCCCACATGGGACGACACTTTGTGTGATTCACAAATTGTTGTTCTGAGTCTGAGTTCTTTGTGTCCGTTTCATGTATGTTTGTAAAGTTTCAACACAGGATATATTTCTAATACGGCAATGGCAAAAAAAAGCAAGGTAGAGCTGTTAAATATATTTTTTATTGTAAAATAACAGATAAAGAAAATTAAACCAATATCTTCGACACCAAAGCTTCATTACTCAGATTGTAAAACTCTCCACCTGAAACATACAAATAGTCTATTATAAATAATATATACACTTATTTATCCTGTGGGTGTCGTAAGACTCGACTAGGGGAGGAATCTATGCAGGACAACAGCACTACAAGTAGAAGAAAAACTTGAAACAAACCCTATACCAATCCGTTTGGCCGGTGTGGTTTAGCAGGCCAAAACCTCTTTTTTTTAAGGAGAGACTTAAAGCTGGGGATTATTCAAGGCTGTTGATGGAAAGACTCTCATGTTGGTTATCCCAAAGGGGGAAATCCTGTGAACATAATTTAATTATATTTACATGACAGGTAAGCGGCAGGGTTTTGTTTTATTTGAGAACTTTAAACATGAAATTTAGGTTTTTATTTCCTGGATAACCATAAGCAAACATTTTATTCTTCGCTATGCAGCGAGCAGGCCGCTATGTGAGTAGTAATATTGATAATAATAGTTCACACAGCTCACAGACGACCATCTGATACCAAACTAGGCAGAGCCTGTGCTACGGTAGCCAGACTGCTGATAAACATTCATAATTATACCCAAACAAGTCAAACGATCGTGCTCGTTACACGATTATTAGTCCTGGGTGGGAATCGAACCCACTAACTCAGGCTTAGCAGTGAAGGTGACTAACCACTCGAGCGAGAGGCCAGTAGAGTGGGGGGAGGCGCTAGGCGGTGAGCAGGTCGGGCGCGGCGGACGACAGCAGGTCGGCGGCGCCGCTGACGGCGCGGCACCACGTGTCCAGGCGCTGCGCCAGCGCCGCCGCGCCGGCCCGCGGCAGCGCGCGCGGCCGGACCCAGCCGATGTGAGCACAGCTCGACACCTGGGGACACAACACCAACTTGTACTACAAATCAGCTACGTAACATGTCATAGTCAGCCTGGGAGCACGGCTAATAATAATAATAATAACTTCACACATCTCACACACGGCAGTCTGATCCCAAACTAGGCAGAGCCTGTACTATGGTAACCAGACTGCTGATAAACATACTCATATATTTTTAAATACATACATATTATAGATAAATAACACCCAGACACAGAACAAATGATCGTGCTCATCACACAATATTTGTCCTGGGTGGGAATCGAACCCACAACCTCCGGCTTAGCAGTCAGGGCCACTAACCACTAGACCAACAGGCCCGTCGATAATGCGACTCGTTCAAAACGTCAGAATCTCACATCTGCTACTAGTGTTTGAATGGATTCGCTCATATTAATGTAGGTTTTACTAATCAATTCAGATATCTAATAATTCTATATTATACTAAATTAACCCCGAAGGGATAGACTGAGGCGTATTAAACGCCAATCGCCAAGTACTGCTAAAATGGCAATCATCATTATCATGTCAGCCGTAAGACGTCCAGTGCTGAACAACCGGTCCTGTGACGCCCAAATTGCCATTAAATTTTGCCAAAATACTAATAACTAAATAATTACTTAATTTGAGTTAGGCTTGCCTATGCCTGTCAACCGTGCACATAATATTTCCAAATATACATAGTTATATATTTCTAAATACATACATAAATTACACATTAAAATACAATTTCATGTTAACATTTATAATATTAGTTAGGTTATTGATAAAATTATTAGAATAACGCATGGGAATTAAACATTCTTTCTCATTACATAAGTGTGAGTTCTACAAGTTTATTTCCAACTACCCTACACCCTTAGAAATAAGTAATAATAATAATAATATCTCACCACAACATCATAACAATAACTAAAACAATAAAAAATGGGAATTAATGATGGGCCTGTTGGTCTAGTGGTTAGTGACCCTGACTGCTAAGCCGGAGGTCGTAGGTTCGATTCCCACCCAGGACAAATAATTGTGTGATGAGCACGATCATTTGTTCTGTGTCTGGGTGTAATTTATCTATATTATGTATGTATTTAGAAATATATAAGTATGTTTATCAGCAGTCTGATTACCATAGCACAGGCTCTGCCTAGTTTGGGATCAGACGGCCGTGTGTGAGATGTGTGAAATTATTATTATTATTATTAATACTGTGGGAGACTGGTACCTAAGGTAGGCTATTGGCCTGTATTTCAGGTCACCAGGTCTTCCCCTTTTTAAATTGTCTTGATTGCAACATTGCATTCGCTAGTTTTAGGATTTATTTTTAACAAACTTTGTGCGTTGTAGATTGCGTTTCGTATGCGTGTGTATATTCTATGTGTGCGAGTAGGCTGCTTACCTGATCAATATGTCCTCTGATAAGTTTCTCAGCCAATGCTTTCATAACTAAAAGTTCCACTTCATCGATGGGAACTCGTGCTTCTCTCGCTATCTCTGCGAAGGTGAGCTTGCGCTGAGCTGATGTACGGTTGAAGGCCATCTGGAAATTAAGCCGGCTAAGGATATAATGTCGCCCATACAGAAGCAATTGATACTTACATATTTAATTTATTTAAAAGTTATTATGGAGGAACTACAGAGTATTTTTTGACGTGACAACGTCTTATAATTCGATGGAGCCGGCTGCACGCACGAAAAAACATAACTCATGCGGCGTTACCTCGCTCTGAGGCGTTCCATTTAAGGCTTGAAGTGCAAGCGAGAGCGCGGAACGAGTGACAAAGAGGCACAATCGACCTCCGCGTTCGGCAGCGTTAGACATCTGTCTCTCTCAAGTAGGAACTTGAGTGAGCGATGCGTCCGCGTGGACAGCTGCTACTCGTATACAATAATACATTTTTGAAAAATGCAACCATTCCATCAGTATTTTCTTATGACGTTGTCACGTTCAACTATCGTCAGTAAACCAACTTTACAGACTACCGATATTTTTTATTTAAAAAAGACAACTCCCGCATTAGGAATATGTCCTGTGTCGCGGGGGACTTTACAAACATGCATGAAACGGACACAAAGAACACCCAGACTTAGAACAACAATTTGTGGATCACACAAAGTGTCATCCCATGTGGGGTTTGAACCCACAACACTCGGCGCAGTAGACCGCTTAAACCACTACGCCATCCGTGCAGTCAATATTTAACGTAATTTATAATAAAAATATAGCACATTTACTTCGAATAAAACTTTTGATTAATGGCTATAAGGATATAGGTATAGTGCTGTCGGGAAGCAGGAAGAATCTCGTACAATGCTACTGCCAGAGGTCATTTTTGACATTACAAACAGACTGTAATAATTAGATAGATAGATACTTATAGATACTTTTTATTGCACAACAAAATATAATAATAATAATAATATTTATTTATTTCTCTCATCACAAAGAACTTATAAATACAGATCAGTCAGATTGGGTACATCAATGCTTTGTGAGAGACTGGTGTCTGCGGTAGGTAAAACCTGTGTTACAGCTCACCAGGATATTGATATTGATTTTGAAATATAGTAAATATACATGCTATAAAGAGTAGTGAGAACTAAATACCACCTTACTGTACAGGTTATTATGAGGAATTTAAAGATAGAAGGAAGTATGCCACTTCCTTCTATCTTTAAATTCCTGTCCAGTACCCATGGTGAAGTCAAATGTATGGGCAGGCTGATGCTGTTAGCTGTTAAACGAGCTAGTGTTCAGACATAAAGAGCTGTATCAGTACACAAACCTCCATGAGACACAGTATAGCGATCTTCTGTCTGAGTTGCCTGTCCGCACGCGCCAGGTCCGGGTGAAGGGACTGGGCTCGGACCCTCTCGAAGGCTGCCACGTCTCCGGCGGCCACCGCACGAACCAGCTCACACGCCCACGCGTCTGACGTACCTTCCAAAGATTCGAGGATCGGATGAGCGAGCTGGAACATTACAAATGATGAGTTTTACCATCTCAAAGTTAGATCCGAGCCACATAGGTAAGGTCGGTACACTGACCAGCTCGCCCAGGTCGTAGACGGTGGGCGCGATGACGGCGGCGAGCGCCAGGCGCAGGGCGGTGGCGCGGCGCTCGTCGGGCGCCAGCCCCGCGCCGCCGCCCGCGCACCCCACGTAGCGCAGCGCGCAGCGGTAGTACTTCGCCATGGGGCCGCGCACTCTGCACGCAACACACCGTTATGTATCAATATTCTCCACTTCCTTCTGATCGGGGGTACCACTAGGACAAACATTGGGCTTCTTATCCATGGTAAAATTAAATTCTATTGGATCGATCTAAGTAGCGTGCGATTGAAGAGGCCTCTGTCCAGCAGTGGACTGCGATAGGCTGATAATAATGATAAGGCAATAATAGCACTGTGCCTACAGTGCAACCCGATTCAAACATCCAGGAAATTCAAAGTTTCATTCCGGCACTACAAAAATAGTGTTAATTATAATGTTTCGTGGAATCTCAAAGTTTAAAAGATATTAGAGCACTAAAGATTTTAAATTTGACTAGCTTACATAATTAGCAATCAAACAATATGTGCCGTCTAAACAAAGAGGTTCTGCTGTAACTATTCTTTGTGGTCTGCTGTATATGTATTCTTGAGACTCTTACTAAAAATTTATGATATAGGATATGGCATGTGAGATAATTTCCATGTGAATATAATATTATTACACTTAGTTGCATTCAAATACAATTTGTTTAAATAACTGACTGACAATATGCTGTGACTTTACAATGTTATAACATCTACATCCTTAATTATTGCTTTATTAATATTTCAATTATTTACCGTGGCATTCAAATGTATATTGATAAAGGTCAAGAATAAAAGGGGCCTAGAATACAACCTTGGGGTACCCTTTATACAACGAACTTATTCGAGATTTAAAAAACTCGAATTATTTCTAGCTATGGATCGTTTGTATAAATATGATTCACACGATCTTAACAAATAATCATATAATTCCAAGTAACACAGTTTGTTTATAAGACTACTATGATTCATCACATCAAATGCATATGAAAAACAGACGTATCTACGGCGTGCACTTATATTTCGGTAGTGTTCTAGTTCAATTTAGAAGAAGCAATCTATTGAAATTAGTGACCCAAAATCTATACCATATACATCTACTATTATGTCCAAACATGGCCATAAAAAGAAGAGCTGTGTATAGGTCACTTTACCTGTAATACTCTGAGGCAAGCTTATAAAACCGACCATGCACGGGAGTAACCCCATCAGCATCCTCTAATGTTCCCTCAAGTTGTTCTATAATCTTCTCTGTGGCATCAAGGTCATTCAACTGTTCCAGGTAGATTTGGCCTTGAAGTACCTGTTGTATGAAATTTCATATTAAAAGACTGGGTGGTATTCACTAACTTTGTCTTTCTTTCAGAATTTTCATCTCTTTGAAAAACAAAGGGGAATTAGGAAAATTGGTAGTCTACTACTCCAATTTTCCTAATTCACCACTTTTTTTTAGTAATTACAAGCAATGTATTGATTTAAACTACAATGGTGATTTTCACTTGATGATATCGAGTATTACTTTCGGATATTTCGATTATTTATTTTTATATTACTGCTGATGATAAATGATAATAGGTCTTTACCTATGAAATTGCCGTTTTGTATGCAATAAGTGAAAGTACTTATTTTTTCAAACTTTTTTATTTCTGTTATTCGAAGTAATCACCCATGCAATCGATGCATCTTTGCCAACGCATTGACAGTTTATTGATGCCCTTCTTGTAAAAATCAGCTGGACGGGAGGCAACAAACTCTTCAAAGGCATTTTGTACTGCCTCTCGGGAATTGAATTGCCAAAACAAACCACAGAGTTGTCTTTTTTAAAGGTGTGTACAATGTCTGGGTTGGCCTTTTGAAGAAAGGACCATAGTTTTCATGCACCTCAATCAAGGATGAACTAGATGTGTTCATCTATAATCATGGCAGTAAACATCATGTTTATAATTACAAGCACGGAAAGGGATGATTAAACGGGTAAATTTGAGTGCAAATTATGGTTTGGGCAATAGGTCACTGTGACTCAAAGCCCATCTTTCCTAATAAAACTTCGGTCACAATTCAGTTCCGATCAAATAAATAGGATAAAAGATATTTTTGTATTAAAATAAGACTAAGACCAGCAGATTACTAATTCAATTTTCGGTTACAATACGATATAATCATATTACTGTTTATGACAGTTGTGAGATGATTGTGTTGATCGGAACTGAATTGCGACCAAACTTTTACTACGAGCATTGGCCTTCTGGTTTTGAACGTCCGCAACTCAGAGAGTCACAAACGCGTTACAGGCCTTTTAGGAAGGAGTACGATCTTTTCTTGAAGGTTTGAAGATCGTATCGGTCGTACCCGTTCCACAGATTGGTTGTGCGGGGCAAAAATTGTCTCGAAAAGCGTGGAGCGCCAACTGTCCAGGTGATGAGGATGAAAATTTTGCCGTGTGGAAGTTGCGGCTGGTATTAGTCAAAACAATTCCTCGCATCACACTCCATGATATATGCAATAAAGAATGCATAGTCAAGCCACATCTCTACGTGACGCCAAGGGATCCAGCCGATCGGAGATGTTTGGGCTATCGTCGATTCGAGTCGCTCTTCGTTGAACCTACGTGTACCATAGTTTAAGTCACAGCAAAGGCCCGTTAAAAATACATTTGAACTGACAATTACCGTTGAGCCCAAGCTCTCTTAAATAAATATTATATTGCAATACCTACCTTACAAAGCGCAAGAGCCTCATCATTAATTTTAACTTTTCCTTCCACCTTCTCGAGGAATGCAATTGCGTCTTTCTTGTTGGTGTACTGCTTTATAACATGAGCGATGATCTCAACTAGAGATAATGGGTTGATTCTGTAATGTGATAAATACTGACATGTTAATGGAAAAAATATGAAAATATGTATTGTACAACAATTTTAGCAATAATGGTTTAAAAATTTACAGAACCTACCTTTTGCCCGTGGTGAAAAGTAGCCTATGCCTAGAGGACGGCCTCGAGAATCAAACTATCTTCACGTCAAGCTTCTTATCTCTATGGTTTAGCGGTTATTGATTTCCCATGCAAACTTCCACCTTACTTTTCACCCCCCTTAAAGGATGATTTCTGGGATCAAACTATCTCTACATGAAAATCGGTTTAGCAGTTTAAGCGTGAAGAGGTAATAGACGGACAGGCAGAAACACACTTTCGCATTTATAATATTAGTATGAATAAAACAGTGTTGACTGCACGGATGGCGTAGTGTTTCCTACGCTGAGTGTTGTGGGTCCGATCCCCACATGGGCCATCGCTTTGTGTGATCTATAAATTGTTGTCCTGAGTCTGGGTGTTATTTGTGTCCGCTTCATGTATGTTTGTAAAGGCCCGCACGACACAGGATATGTTCCTAATACGGGTCGTCTTTTATAAAAGAAAAAAAAAGGAGTGAGTAGGTAGTTGCGTTTATTTTTTTTCAATATTTAATAAAGAAATGTAGTAAAGTGAAATTAACTAATTATCTAATTTCGCAACATGAACTACTTGGCTAAAGTCAGCGAGATCTCCTAACCTGGGTGGTAGAACTGTTCTCTAACCTCTCATAAGCCGCGATATGCTGCTAGACTGTATAGTGCCTTCATCAGTAAGCGATGTACAGTGTAGAGGCAAGTGAGGAGTTATTACAGAAAGACAGTAGTTTTCTTACATAAAACTGATACTTACTTGTTTTCAAATGTGCTAATGAAATTGGAATAAAGTTGGATTAAGTTGTCTTTAGCCTGTAGTGAAGGGTGTTCAACCAGCTCCTGTATCTTCAAAGTAAGCTGGTGCCATAGTCTGTAAAAATTTAAAAATAACAATATAATTTGTTCAAGAATACACAATAAAACAAAGAGATCACTGAGCTATTTGTGGTTTTGAGTTGGCAGGTACAAGATTGGATGATGACCAAAGTATGGATAGACTGTGTAGAAATGGACATACATACAATAAGACCAAACAGTAATGTAGGATAGGTCACTCTTAGATAACTGCAAGGAGAACATTTATCATAATTTTTGATATAAGTTCCAATCATCAACAGCCTTTACTAGTCCACTGCTGGACATAGGCCTCTTCTTAGAAAGAAAGTTTTGTTGACTGTTGACCTGCATAGTTTGCTCCCTCAGGATCAATAGGGGTGGTGACACTCTGTATTCTTGCTAGCGTGCACCTATCTCCTCACACCTAACACAGTTTTACCTATCATGACTGATCAACTTTTAGAATTCATTATACACTAAATTTAGTTATGTAGTGAACACATACATAAACAAAGATGTCAGTTATAATATGTAAAGGAAGTGACTTGCGAAATTTCTTCATTGAACCGGGAATTCTTATTTAATTATTACTTGGACCATTGTTTTAAGAATTACTAATGCGACTATATTATGACAATAAGCGAGGCCTGTTGTAATCTGGCGCAAATATGCTAGCTTGGGAAGATGAAATCGAGGCATTTTATAATTAATTACATAAAATTGGAATTAAAGTTTAAATGGCAAGAAAGATAACCTTATTTAGGTTTTAGCTAACTTAGCACTGACAACAATAAAATGTATTAAATATAATAAGCCAATACGTATACCTAATAAGTAATACATATATTGTACATATATTGTGTTGCCACTGTATAAGAAATAATATATCTTTATATACATACTATAATACCAGAAAAACAAAGTATTCAAAAGAAAGGATTCATGGAGACGTAACATTAAAAACTTGTATATTCTAAAATATAAACACAAGAAAGTGTTATACTCACTTTTTATTATAAAGCTCCTCTAATTTAGCCCAATCCGAAGCCAAATCAGGCTCGGTGGTTTGTTTTCGAGTTAAAAAATCGTTTACATCGATGACTGCAAACTTAACCGCGGCCATTTTTTGAGTATAGTTACTTGTAATGATATGAACTTAGAAGCGAAAGCAAACTGTCAACTTGCAAACTATTTCGGCTACAGAAAGGCACAGATAAACTCCTCATTCGACCTAAGTGAAGTTAGTAGTTTGTGCTGCCATCTAGCATCGACTAGTTACTGTAAAACTTCGTTTTCTTGACGACAGATGACGCTACTAGCTGCATTCGTCGGTTTACAGTTTTTGGTATCTTTCCGTTGTTTAGCTTTCCCACTGAATGTAATCCAACAATCTTTTTCACTCGTATAATAAATGTTACGTTTTCGTTCGTTTTTTTTTTTTTCGTTTTAAAAATACAACTCCCGCATTAGGAACATATCCTGTGTCGCGGGGGACTTTACAAACATACATGAAACGGACACAAAGAACAACCAGACTCAGAACAACAAGTTGTAGATTACACAAAGTGTCGTTCCATGTGGGGATCGAACCCACAACACCCAGCATAGTAGGAAGCGGCGTGGCGACCGCTTAAATCACTACGCCACCCGTGCAGTCAGTTTTAACCACTGAATCAATTTATTCTGATATAGAAATAGAGGGGACCTTGGAGAAGGACAGTAGCTACCTTTAGCCACTACTAAATAAAAAAATATGGTTATGAAATAACAGATAGTCACATACACGTACAGATTTATATGGGAGACGTCCGCAGACGAACTTACGAGCACTAGCTAAAAACATTCTCGTGTGGATGTGTGTTCGTTTCCTCTATTTATTTTCTAACTACTTTGAACTACTTACTTATCCGATCACTATTAAATCATGTACCCAATACGTCGTCAGGCAGAGGTTTGAAATGTACCATAACATTTCAATTTATAATAAAGAAAGTAGGTAACGTTGAAATTACAATTAAGATTTATGCTCGTATTAAATCTCCTAACTTACAACACTAACACCGTATGTGTCCCTTTTTGTTTTGTTGACGGAGTGGAAAATCCCTTCGGATCTCCAGGTCCTTGGGGATATAGGAGCCAGGAGTATGTGGTGATTCCACTAAAAACCACTCCGGTGGCCAGCCTTAGGCGCCCTGCTCTGGGGAGAACCCGGGCCATGTGATTTCAGGTCCCCCAGATCGACGCCGCACCTAACTAGGTCCCATCTCAGGGAAAGCCAGTGGCTTCTCCCTGCCTCTCAGCCTATCCAGATGTTGCAGCCCGATCACATTTTCAGTGCGATCAGGCTGCCATCCTTTCCCCTACCGCAGCAATTAATCTGTCACCAGAGGTCCCCACTCTCTGGCGGCCCGCGGTCCCGTCGGCTGCTCATTACGTCGTCGACGTCTTCTTCGCTCGGGATCGGCCCTCTCCCACCGTATGTGTCCCTAGTGTTAGTAAGTAGGATCCTTGTTGTTCCGTTGGAGAAACGGATGAGTAAAAAAGTTAAAAGTAATCTATGCTAAGTTTCGAAAATGAGACAAAATAATCTGTATTTTTCTCATTGAACTATTATACCTACATTATAACCTATGATTTTTCTCAGAGTATATACGGGCAGCTGCTAAACTGACGTGAATCTGTGCTCACTGTTTTGTTTTAGTAATAAAGATTAGATTATAAGCTATTTGATATTTGTGGTCATCAACAACAATCATAGATATATAACCTAGAGAGAACAAAAGCCCCAACCTTGCATATTGCAACGGCAACGAGAGAGAGGCAATAGATAGTTCCCTGTACCTCTTTCTAGCCGAAGTCTGTGGTTGGCTGCGGAATATTAGGGGTTGATAAGTAGCCAATCGCAGATCAGCTAAATAGAGACAGAGGGAAATATAGGTATCCATCTCTCTTGTTGCCTGTATCGCTTCTACTTACAGACAGCTGTACTCCGTGTTCTCACTATGGTTATATCTCTACGACTTCCATCAACGAAAGCAGCGTCGATCTTTATGTTACGTCACTGTCAGGCACAGTAGGTGCTGTCACTAGTAGACCACCGAATGGCGTAGTGGTTTGTGTAACGGACTGCTATTCCAAAGGTCGCGGGTTCGATCCCGCTCAAGTCAAACATTTGTACATTTAATGTTTCATTTGGTCTGGGCGTTTCTATGTATAATAAGTATGAATTTACAAAAAAAAGTATATATGTATTTATATCAGTTGTCTAGTACCCATAGTACAAGCTCTGCTTAGTTTGGGACTAGATGGCGTTGTGTGAATGTGATACAATATTATTATATTATTATTATACTAGTGCAATACCACAGAATCTAATTAAAAAGGTGTATAAACCAATCATTTGAATACTGTTTTCCTTTATACATCATCCCATCTCTTGCTTAATAGCTATTGATGAGATTTGTTTCGGCTAAAGGCCTAATAGATTGAAGCCAAAAATTTAAGTCCTACGGAATTCTTATATTGAAACTGACAAATGGAACTTGAGAATTAGTGGTATTGTTACAATTTCTTGTTAAAGTATCGACATGAATAAACATAGAATGATATTGAGAAGGTACCTATTCAGATTTTATCAGAACATGTGTGCCAACAAGCCTCGTCTATTGGTATTTGGTATTTGTCAGTATGGTATACAGCAGTTGTGTTATTTTTGTGTGCCCAACACAATCCATGACACTGGATTAGATTGGTATTGGTATCTACCTCACCGAGCTATTAGGTAGAGTCAAAGACGAAAATCAAATGGGGTCATGATCCTCCCCTTTGAGCCCGGTCTTGTTCGTACAGTTTCAAGTTGGTAATCTAATGGGATAAGTTAATCCGTTCCTGTGTAGAGCGGCACAAAGCATTCCTATTTTCTATTGCAATATAGGTTTTTTTACTTGAATATTACTGAACAGCAAGAGTAACTGTGAAATACCATATCTATACTAATATTATAAAGCTGAAGAGTTTGTTTGTTTGTTTGTTTGAACGCGCTATTCTCAGGAACTACTGGTCCGATTTAAAAAATTCTTTCAGTGTTAGATAGCCCATTTATATAGCGGCTATATATATTATCGCGCTAAGACCAATAGGAGCGGAGCACCAATGAAGAATGTTTCAAAAACGGAGAAAATTTATTACTATTATTGAGAGACGCAGACGAAGTTGCGCGAGTCAGCTAGTGTTATTATATAGGTAGAACAAATACTTATGCAGTTTGTATATTTAAAGAATGGGACTAAAATTACGGATTATCTGCGTTTTTCTTGGTCGTATTTTATTTTTGGAACGTAGTTACTTATGTGACAAAGCGGCGACAGGGATTTTACGAGAAAAAGCGTACCTATGTTACGAAAAAGCGTTGGTTATAGCGCTCTGCGGGCAGTGAATTAGAGGGAAATTATTTCGTCTTCTTGCAGTGTGCATTTTATTTAATAACTCGAGAACGACGCGTCGAATAGTTATTCAATTTTTAGTAAAAAATTGTTGCATTTCATATACATATGTTTGTAAGGACCTCCGCGACACAGGAATATATTCCTAGTTCGGGAGTTGTTTTTTTTAATAAAAATAAATAAATAAAATATTTCATTGGCTTTTATATTTCTTAAGTCATTGGAACAGCAAATCAAGAAACCTGAAGCCCTTGTTGACTAATTGGCTAACGTGCTAATCAAATAAAAGCTTGACATCATACACTACACCATAATCCCAAGAAACAGTTTGCCACTCTAGCTTATGAATTTTGAATGCCTATGTAATAAATGTCAAGCATATAGATTTGACTAATATAAACCTAAGATAATATTATAAACAGGATCTAATTTCATTAATGAAAATAACGACGAGCAGAGGGCCCAACAAAGGACCCTGTGGGACTCCAGAGGGAGATTTGACTAATGACGAAGCATAACAACTCAATACTACTGCCTGAAACCTGTCCAGAAGATAAGACGAGAACCAGATATAGAGTTTTCCATAGATACCGAGATCCACAAGCTTGGTAAAGTATGATTTTGTTATCTATATGATCAAAAGCTTAACTGTTATCAGTGTATCCCATTTCAAGCTGATAACCATATGTAGTCCAAATTACTGGTCAAGTAGGTAGGTACCTATTCGGCTAACACTTATTTCGTTTAGTGTGTGTGCTATAAGAACCTACCTTTGAGTTTTGATGATTAGTTAGTCAGTCAGAATTTTGACTTTTAATATGTCAGTTTATTTGTTAAAAATTCAGTCCTTCAATTTTATTCAGAACAAACGCAGAAGAGTCAGTCATTCAAGATATTTCCGAGCTCTACGAGGGATGGAAAGTATCCTGAAATATTCCGATTATGGTACGGCCGTGAGCTATGCTGCGTTTTACTCTGGACTTTCATGTCCCCAAAAAGCAGTTCCATTAATTGCTTCATCGTTTTTTGCTTTAATCCTAAATTTATAACTATAATACATTTTCATCGTGGGAGAGCCAGGCTTCGGCACTAATGGGACGGCTCGCCCGGAGTGATACCACGGCCTCACAGAAAACCGGTGTTAAGGTATTCTTTCGTTGCCTTTCACTGAGTGAGTGAGATTACCGGAACCCAAATCCATTCCCTCCAGCTGACTCGAGCGGGAGGGAATTTAGTAATTTAGTAGTTTTATTCAGAGGAAGTTCAAAGTCGCTCAACGTACTATGGAAAGGGCTATGCTCGGCGTTTCTCTAAGGGATCGCATCAGGAATGAGGTGATCCGGTGGAGAACCAAAATCACCGATATAGCCTACCGGATCAGCAAGCTGAAGTGGCAGTGGGCTGGCCATATTAGCCGCAGAACCGATAACCCTTGGGGACAACGAGTTCTTGAGTGGAGACTGCGTCTCGACAAACGTAGTGCTGCAGGCGAGGTGGAGTGACGATTTGCGCAGGAAGCGGTGCGGTGCAGCAGTGGACTGCGATAGGCTGATGATGATGATTCAGAGGGAAGTGAGCTGAGATATAATATTTGTTATTTTTGCTACCTGCAGCAGTTAACGAAAAGGTGATGAAGAAATTTGAGCATTTTGTCAAATATCTTATTATTTCCTAGTTCATC